ACCAATAGATTTAAAAAATATGTACTGAAATGGTTGCAAAATCTTGACTATGTCCAAACTGAAAATCTTCTTACAATATCTAAATAAAATACAATCATTAAAACACGCACAGACACAATCACACACACACACACACACACACACAAGCGCGCGCGCACGCGAGCGCCACACTTCCGCACATACGCACAACAACAATAAACAACACATTAAACAGTATGTAACAGTAACGGCTTATAAATTAATATTAAAGAATAATAAATTGTCTTATGTACTTGCCGAATATAGACCTAGAACTAAGAATTAGGGAAGGCACTGTTTCCTGAGATACAGGTGATAACCTAGTTCAGGAGACAGAGCTCCTTTGTATTTAGACGTATTTGGTTGCTAATAAACGTTATTTATTATTATTATTATTACTTATGTAGTAGGTAGCACTATAGTCAGATAAGTTATTTTTTAAAAAACGTTACCCCCACACTAGGATTTTCTCCTGTATCATGGGATGCAGTTTACAAATATAAATTGCACAAATACAAACATCCAGATCCGGAACAATTATTTGTAGGTCATACAAATAATTGTTCCGTGCGGGATCCGAACCCACGGACTCCAGCGCAGCAACTCATTGCTAAGCCAGTGCACTACGGAGTACCGATAACGTAAGGACGGATAAGTAAGTTACAGCTTTATTTCTTTATAGTTAGATATTATAGGTAGGTACTTACCGAACACACTTATTTTTTTATTGCTAACTAAGTGCTTGGCTTCTGCACTACGGATCGGAGGTTCGATTCCAATACGGAACAAATATTTTAATGGCCTACAGATAGTTGTGAAAATTTGTGTTTGTAATCGCACCGTCTCCGATTCAGAAGAAATCCTAGAGTGGGGCAACGTTATAAAAAAACAATTACTACTAATTTTGTTGAATATTGACAAAACAAAAACAAACCCATTTAGGTAACTTTTTATCTTTTCTTTTTTCATAAAAGTTGCCCCACACTCGATTTCTCCTAAATCATAGACGATGCGATTACAACCACAAATTTTCACATACAGAAACACCTGTGACTAGTAGCGCAACAACCAATCGCTTAGCCACTGCACCAAACCTGTTATATGCTAAATTTCTACATAATATTTGTAATCACTAATACTGTAAGTAGATAGGTCGGTAGATACTTACTTCATGTGCTTCTTATTTTTATTACGCTTATTTCCCATTGCGCCAACACTATAACCCTAAGTGTCTATTTTAATTTTACGTCGTCCTGTTGCGTAATGTGTGTTTTGAGCACAAGCGACACAACCCTTCCCTTCAAAAGCCGGAGCTAGTAAAGGTACTCTGTGGAGTGAATGACGGTGTCGGGCTGTAGGGAACAAACTTTAAAACGACGATAGTTTAGGTAATTTCTTTTTACGTTGAAAGTAATGATAAATAAAAAAAAGTAAATAACATTAGCCTTGCATTATAGTTAGTTCAGTTATAGTTTAGTATGCAAAGTTTCACTTTACTCTACTCTAATTTTAAGTATTTTTTGAATACCATCGGTTTATAGTGCGGTTTGGAGGTAACTTTAGATTTTTTTCTATGGAGAAAATTTTATAGAATCGTGTTTTCGTCTAACATAGTACTTAACATTAATCCTCAACTTCACCATATATTTATTTCAAAAACAATGCTGCAGTATTTTCGGCATAACAGAGGATCTTGCTAAGCCATTTGAAGTATTATGCGCCCTTTAGAGGGAGTAGCGTAGGTGTTCCTTAAAATAGGTACGAGACATCATTTTTTATAACGCTGATCTAAGCTAATTAATAATAAAAAAGTGCTGCTCCAATGTATGTTGACGAACTTCATGTTTTCGAATTTTTTTCTTAATTAAAATAATATCAGTAGTTAATAAAGGAATAAGGGCATCAAATAAACACGTACAAAAAATCATGATATATGTATATTATTTAAAAAAAATTAAACATTAAAGTTACCTACTTATAATTATCTGTACAACTTGATAAATAACATGAATAATCAATTTTGAGGAAAATTTCTAAAATTTCGGACTTTGGATGCAATACATTCTTAACCAGGTTATCATAAGAATTAACATATTTACAAATTTAATTTAATCCTCTAATACAATAAGAATATCGGATAAAATATTAAAAGGTACTTTCAATATAATAATAAGCTATCTACATGTATGTTTACAAGAATTCAATCGCACAAGTACTTCTTGATAAATATCAATGATATAATAGACATCTAGCATCACTCTGCAACACAATTACGTGCCTTAGTCGAAATACCTAAAATAATATGTATTTGTAAATCAGATACAAAATATGCAACAAAATTACAAAAATTAAATCGATTCAATATTTGAATTGTTCTTTTGAAAAATCAGAACATTGGAACATTCCTATTCGGGACTATTTTTTTGCAATAAAATAATCACAGTCACACTTTTTTTACATGTAGTTTGATCTGTTTTTTTTTTGTTGAACAAAATGCAGATCTTCACAAAAACTTAAAATATAGTATTAATATGTAAAAAAATATCCAGTACTCATAACCACATATGATCAAAATGTGGCCAAATATCTGCTGGTCATCTCATCCTATAGTATGATATAAGGTTACAACTTAAAAAAATAAGAGGTGTTTTTAAGCTAAAACCTGCAGACTGTTTTAAATATATTTAAGAATCGACTAAATTAATTTAAAGCATAAAATCCTACCTATCGTATATTTAATTTATATTTTCATAAACAAACAATTTAAGACACTGTGAACTACATAACATAAATTTAGCATTTTATACACATCATTGGTACAAAAAAGACACGTATTAATTGAAATATTCTTTGATTTCAATACATACACAGTAATAATTATTTAGAAAATATTCTCATATCAACGAGACAATAGCAAAGGAGTTGTAATTTGTTTACGTAAGCATTTCAAGACATATTCCTATCTAGCGACAACACATCAATAATCACATAAAGAACGGTTTTTAAAATAATTATTATTGGAAACTAATTTTTTTATACACTGTTTGGTGTCTTAAACCTTGATTCTAGCGATTACTTAACAATAATTTTATATATTACACTATTTAACATTATCGGACCATTTATTATTTAATGGCATCCCAGATTGGATTGCGCACATCGAATTTCGATGAAAAATGTTAAAATTTAACAAATTATTCATATAGAATAATGCACGCCATCCAAAACTCGTCCATATCTCATACATTTACAATCCCAAATGCACGATCAATTTCTCAAATACAATTTACAAACTTAAACTTATTCAGAAAGGGGACACCTGGAACTAAATCAATCTCACACCTGAAACAATCAGTCTTCTCATTGCGAAAATTTTCATAATATTTATTTACAATTTGCACGCCGGTGATTTTTCATCATTGATAGCTAATTTATATGCACAGTATTGATATTAAAATATCCGTTTGTTTTTGGTACAAGAGCAAAGTAAGTAATGTCTATTTTAATTGAAGTTGTAACTCACCGTAATATTCGCTTTAGACAGTTTGTTTTCATAATCGTCATACATACCATTAACATAACGCCATTTTTTTATAATTTGACACAACTATGTCGTATTTTAACATAGTAGTGTTAACAAAATATAAAAGTAGTTAAAAGTAAAGATTCCCTAAATGTGACTACTATGGACGGGACCAAATGTATATAATGAACAATTATAAATAACGATATCTATGAGCTAATTTCTTCCCCGAATTCTGGACGTTATTTCGAGACAACATTGAAAAAGTTCATTGAAGCATAAAAAAAAGTGTAAGATATGGCACAAGTATAGAAAAAATAAATAATTTCTTTTCTTTATGTAGATGGTGCCAGCATATTTTAACTTCAAATATGATTGCATAATCTACATAAGAAAAATAATATTTATTTTTATTATTTTTAACAATAAATTTTGCACTATACGAAAAGTACAGGCATTCCGTATGAAATACACACAGTACAGTTTATGCCAATTTAATGCTCACGAAAAGGGGGTAAAATTAATTTGGATTAGTCTGTCAGTAATTTATTTTTAAACTTTATAAAAAATATCCTAACACATTATTTAATTCTCCATATTCTATATGGAGGATTTACAACTCTTACTAAATATTTGACAACTATTTCACAGGCGATTTGTAAGTCACAATCTGTTTAGATTTTATTTTATAATATGATATAATCAAATCTCACAATAAATGTATAACTGAAAAGTTATGATCTATTAATTATTAATCATTATTAAAAGATTGTTTAATTACACGATTAAAAATTTATTTGAATAATATATCAAATAAGGGTTACGATCTAAAAAGTTGCACTGTGGTCACATGCAATAAAACATATTATTGGTTACTATCGTATATCAAACACGGTCTGCGACGATTTGACGTATTTCCAAAATTTAGTAATCGCATCGATTTCGTGCGCCCGGGTTGAAGTGAAAAGGTCACAGTATGATTCTATGCTAGTGTGTTATACCATCTTTTACTAATAGTGTGTCACAATAATTTATACTGTGAGTTTACACCATGTCGCAATGTGTTAATAGGGTCACATTGCTTTACACCACGAAGCACGTAGTGTGTTATAAGTAACACACTACGCCATCACGTATTGGGTCAGTATCTCACAATAAGTTGCATGCACTATGGTGTAGTGTCATTGTGTCACAATACACTACGCCACATCGCACTGTATCAGTGTACTACAGTAAATAATACCATGTTGCAGTGTTAATGTGTCACAGTATTAATTCCGCACTGTGTGTGGCCAACGAAGTATTGTGTTAGTGTCACAGTTGTAATGTATGTTGCAGTGTGTCAGCGTCTCGGACCAATTTAGAAAGGTAGACAGCAGAATGCTACGTACATTTCAAGCGACGCCGAAACAGCGTGAGCTGCAGCTCGGTGCGGTGCAACTGTGGTGACGAGGTGAGGCTAGAGTATGCCGTTGGTGTAGTACTGGTAGTTGTCGTAGAGGCGCGTGGAGAGCGAGCGCAGCGCGTCGCGCACCAGGCGGTCCACGAGCGCCGTGAGCTGCAACTCGGTGCGGCCCGGGTGGAAGCGCGCGCGGAACGCGGACACCGCGCCGCTACTGCGCAGGCACGCCAGCTGCCCGCCTGCGAACCAACCACGCTCTTACACTCGGCTACAAACATACATACACTACTCGAACACTTATATGTATACCACTCGAAGACTTCTGTGTGGACTACTCGATGATTTCTCTGTATAATACTCAAAGCCTTTTATGTATCCTACGCGATTATTTCTATGTGTACTTCTCGAACTTCTGTATACTATTTGAAAACTTCTATGTATACTACTCGAAGACTTATACAGGTTTACTGCACGCCTCATAACGCCTCGCTATGCGTTTGTGGTAGTAATTTACTCCCGGCACGTCAAGATCGAGCAATTTTGTGGTCTTAAAATGCCTCTATCATGATCACATTGTACTTATTGGACAATATGAGTAGCCGTATATCAAGAAAACGCTAATTAATTCATCCTTTATTTTCTAAACAATCATTTTATATTGCTACTTTTAAAAAAAGCTATTTAAAAATATTTTACGTCCGGATGTCTATACGCTAATCTTGCATGTGGTCACGATAATCCCCGAAAAACCTGACGAATCGAAACTGTTTTTTTTTTATTAGCTTCAGAATTCCATCAACCGGTTGCCTATTTCATATACAGTAGAGTCTCACTAATCCAGCACTACAAAAGACCATTGGACCCAAGATTATGGGAACATTCGGATTACTGGATTGTTAGAGATTCAAGGTAAATAAAGCATTACAAAGACTTTATCGGACATGAAGACTGACCCTCTTCTAGTCTAGATTTAAACCCACTGGATTTTTTTTCATTCACGCCATCTATTTATAGTGTTCAATTTTCGTAAACGTAGGGACTAGGAATTCACCCACGTCTGTGTGTGTAAACGACACGACGATATTAAATGACAGATGTTATTTTCATTTTCGACCAATGATATGACTTAGTACAATAAAGTATAATTTCCGATTACCGCGATAGCTACTTTAACGACTTAATATTGTTCCAATTACACAAAAATCCAAATAAACTATAAAATTACGCCATCTCGCAGGACAATGGCCGAGAGCAAACCGTATGTGTTTCACCTTTTTATTTTAGAAAGAATCTCTAATTTTTGTAATTAATTTTGATCAAATACTTTTTTGTTCTTTTACGACTGTCTTATTACTTTTCTTGTATCGTCAAGCACTAAAGGACAATGGCGAAATAATAGTTGGTGGAATTATTAAGCGTCTACTTAAGTCACCATTACAGATATCAATAAAATAATTTACTTTGTTTAATCTAATCAAGCTTATGGTCTATCGAGTCTGGAAAAAATCATCATACACAACTTAAAAATTTATCGACTAGTTGTAGTTGTTACGATTCATCAGTTAAGACAGGCAAGGTCTTATACCATACGGACGAGTATGACGTATATTTGATTCAGAAAACTTATATATATATATATACTAATACGTTTTTAAGGATTCCCTCTATACTAGTAATTACCTTATATAAACATATATGAAAATTGTATTGACTAGTTGAAGTTGTAACGATTTGCCAATTAAGTTAATTAAATTAATTTGTGCCATACAGCCTAGTCAAATGTGTATTTTGTTTAGACTGGAATATATTTAATTCCTGACTTCCTGCAGTAGTATGACCGAAGAAAAAAATGTTCAGGATTTTACACTCTAAACAATTTGTATTTGTATATGTGTGATATGCAAATGCAAAATATGTAAAAATAACGCGAAGCGGTTGAGGTATTTGTCTGACATAAAAACGGTCGCGCCACTTAATTCAGTTGAAATAAGATAAAGCAACATTATTTTTTATTATTTTTATTTATTTGATTCTGATAACATTTTTTTGCCCTTGGTAGACAAAGGACAAATGTGCCGTACAGTCTACATCTTTTTAATACTTTGTGTGATCGCTATATTTTGGTAAAAATTATGTATGCCTCATAACGCGAAACGGTTGAGGTACTTCCTTTTTTTATAGAATAAGGGTGACAAACGAGCACACAGTCTACCTGATGGTAAATAGACAGTGTGGCTCATAGACATCTACATTTAGCCTCGCTTAAGTATCAAAACGCAAAAGCGTTGTCACCCCTGAGGGCCAAGATGGAATGCCTCGTTTCCAGTAAAAACGGGTTTCCGGATCTCCACACTCACCATACGAAACAAAGCAGTATTAGGCTGCTATTTTACGATGGTATTCCGTGAGAGCGTGGTCTTTCCACGATCGAGCAGACCCATTCGTGCTACAACCCATAACTAATATAGCTGCAACGTGGCTCTACCACGTATACTCTTACATGAAAACGAAACGCATCATTTAATCCAGTTAAAATGAGATGATTTCTTCATTTCAGAGTAAGTAATATAGGCGAAAGGTGAAGAAAAATTATTCAAAAAATCTCACAGATTCTGTCTTTTTATCTTTTAAATTCAGAATGCGTGGTAACACCTACAATTTTACTACGCACGCACACATTTATTAGGTAACTCGGTTACAAAATTCAGGTACCTTGTCGCGTCCTAACATTCCACTAACCGGTCCCGCTAGGTGCCTACGTCCACCGGGCTGGTCGACCACTAACAGTGTTGACCGTGACCTTATAAGTAGTGGTGTCGCTTAGTTTCCAATAACGAAACGAAAATATTCAAACCGCGAATATTATGAAACTATGAAATGATGCGGTATTACATTTTAAGCAATGAAAGTTTACGTGGTGCGCAAAGATTATACGAATGTGAGTCTTTACTGCGCCAAGAAATTAACGTACTTGCACATATTAATCGAAAACAATGAACATTGACGAAGCTAGTAAAGTGCAGTGAGCGATAATTTAAATAGTGAATATGAAGATAAGTGGATTACGCACGGAGGCCCTATACTATGGCCTGCAAACTCGCCGTTAGTTTCACCGTAAAATTTTATCTGTAGGGTGAAATAAAGAGTCCTATTTACGTCAAAGAGGCCCAGAGTTATGAAAACCTCCACACTAAAATTATTGCTGCGTTCACGGAAGTTAAAGTGCTCAAGCACATTTAACTTAATACCTGTCCTCGAGGACTTTTAATTTGAGAAAACGGATTCCATTTTGAGGTACCAATATTAATTATACTTGCATAATTAAGTTGTACATAGTTTATCTCAATTTTTAAATACGCTATAATTATTACAGTCGTTGGATACGTCGTTGATAAGCAAAAATGCTTTGCTTTTTTATGTTATTTATTATGACGATCTTAAGCCCGTTAAAGTGTAAAGGAATAATTGGAATCATCATTCTCTTTGTGTAGTTATTAATGGGGGATGAGTCGTTCGCGTCTGTAGGCTTCGACCACCTAACGCTCTAACCACCTAACATGTGTCGCCCTCCACGGGTGGTGCTAAACGAACGACAAAGCCGAAAAAATAGACTCGACGCCTTGCGTAAAATGTACCCCCCCCCCCCCCGTTCGCATCATGAGGGCAGGGTTTGAAATATAATATGTATACTGATCAGTTATCTCTATGTATACTACATAAAGACTACTATTTAAACACATCATCTATGTATACTAATAAAAGACTTCTGTGTATACTACTCAAACACTTATTTGTATAAATAGCAGCATGAGTCGTGAGCACAGCCTGACAAGCGCAATAGTTTATTTATATGTTGCAGTCACTTGGTGTTCATGGCACGAGCCACTATCTATATACTACTAGACCGACTCGCAACTTTAATTTGGGTTACGCTCGATTCTCCGTAACTTCATTTGTCGACAGAGAAAGGGCGAGAAGACTAGTTCTTTGTTTTATAAGTCGCGAACGTTGTTATTGACAATCTAATTAATAAGCATGTAACTTTATTTCCTATTTCGTATTTGCTTAAAAGTGTAAACTGTAATTAACAGTAACTGTCGTAAATGAAAATACAACTGTGATACGGTTTTCGTTCTGAATTGTCGCTCTATAGTTCGGCCGTTCAGAGAATGCGTTCCTGACACCTATCAGTTAGTGACGACTAGTGATGGGCACAACATAACACTGAGTTCGTTACCGTTCCTCCAAAATGAACCGCCGCGTTATTTTTAAGATTATTTTCGTTTTAAATTGGCGGAATCATTTAAAATTTATATTTTAGTAATTTAAGTGGAAACCAAAAAAAATGTGATATTAATATAATAAAATTGTTTTATTTATTCTTTGTTACAAAGTTACAAACTGTATTTATATGCAATAAAGTACATTGAATTGAATGTGCGTACAGAATATTAATCAGACTCCGATTCGCTTGAGGAGGTGGTGTCTTCATCATCATCTTCGCCTACATGTATAATTATATTATTATCAATAACAGAATCAATCCTGATATCTCGGTCAAAATGTTCCACAATCAGGTTTTTAGTCTTCTCAACAACCTTTGCCCAGTCATCTCTTGTGACTTCCCCGCAGGCTTCTTTTAATAGGGTCATCATCTTTTTCGTGCTGAATGGCGGGGAAGTATTGTGGCGGGCGGCGTAACCATTTATTTGAGCCCAGATTAGCTCAATCGCGTATATACGTTATATACGGTGGAATTCTTAGAACGCGATGACCGTACTCCAGAGCCAGTTCATCAATTTCGTATCGCACATTTGCCGCTTTATTTTCTTTAACTAATTTAATTAGCTCTGGTTTTAGCATCTGCATATTTGCGTCAATGCCTTTTGCTTGTAACCAAGGCAACATTTCTTCTTTTTTATTAGCTTGGGTAGGTGGTTTCTGTATTTGAACCGAGTGATAGGAGGCATTATCCATGAATATTACAGAAGGCTCTGGTAGGCTGGGCAAAAGCACGTTCTGGAACCACTCTTTAAATGTAGTGACATTCATTTCCTCGTGGTAGTCATTTGTGGTTTTTGATTGAAATGCCAGTAACGCGTTCTCCACAAAGCCGTATTTTGCAGAACCTGCGTGGCATATTATCAGACGGGCCCTCTTAGCCATTGGTACTTTCGACGTCGACGCTTGTGTATCATCCGTCCAAGAACGGGAAACCGTGTGATTGGCGTTTAGCTATGTCTCGTCAATGAACACGACATTATCCCAGTTATCAATAATTTTTTCCTTCTCTCAAAAAACTTATCCGTTTTAAAATTATGTCGTATCGTTAAATCGTATCCAAAAAACCAATATCTTTTAAGATTTTGGTTAAAGCAGTTTTACCCCCGCTAAACAGTCCAGCTTCTCTTAACGATGCCAAAAGCTTCTTCCTGATGAGATATTTATTTCTGGAATAGTATTCATATATATGATTTCTGATTGCATCGGCGTCAAAGGTGTCAATATCTGTCACGGGTTTAGTTCTACGTTTCTTCTTCGGAGTACGTAAAATATTCGTTCTTCCGTGCCAGTAGAGCCAAACTTTTCTTTATTAATATTTGTTATCGTTCGTTTACTAACTCCAATCGCCTGAGAGACGCGTTCTTGTACTTGTTCGACAGGTAACAGGGGTCCGCCATTTTGCCGCTCCCGCTCAAAGTAATCTTGCAGCTTGATGATTAACTCACGGGCTCCACTTTTCAATGTTTGTCAACGTTTAGGCATTATAATGCACCAAAAGTAAAAAGAACGCAATACAAAACACAATCGAAGTCCGATTTAGCGCCGATGTCAGTTTGAAAATCAGAAACAGTCCATTAAACGAAAGCCGGGTAATCAAATAAAAACAGCTCGAAAACACTTGAAGAACGTGGTCTATGCGCACGAAACGACAACAGACGACTGTTTTAGCGTCACAAAATGGCGGCCCATAACGCCATTTGGGGTTACCATTTTCAACCTAAATATAAAAAAGCTACTTTCTTTCGCGCGTTCGGTTTGGTCGTAGTTTTATTTTTATATTTAATAAAAGTTATCTTATAGTCCATTATTTTCAAATTCTTAAAAAGAAAAACAAAACGTATTATTTTATAAAGTATAACTGTATAAGAACAGATTACGATACTGTTATTGCCTATTATTGTTAGCACAGCACTACAAATATAAAGCGCTGACATAACCTTGTAATAGCGCAGTATAGATTTAGAAAAATATTGTTTACCAAGTTATTTGACACTCAGTTTGGCACAAAATTATAAGATTCATTGATTATTGATATAATAATGTTGTTTTAATGCTCATCAATTGTTAAAACGGTAAACAACCAACAAAAATATTTTTATCGTAACTGCAACCCCATTACAGAGTTACCGATGTCAGGAACGCATTCTCTGAACGGCCGACCTATAGTAGTATATTAGCCGTAGTAGTCGTATTTGCCTGGGTCGGACAAAACATCGTATTTCAACACGATTCATTAAACCGTGTAGTGGCGGCCCATATGGCCCCGTGAGTGTAGTAAGAGGCGACAAAGGGAAACCGCAACAGCATCTTCCTGACAACAGCTGATATTAAAATAGCAAACTGCAAGCTATGGCAGAACCCAGAGGCATGAGGCAATCTATGGAGGAAGTCTATATTCAGCAGTCGACTTATAGGCTGAGAAGTATACAAAATTGATACTTCTGGAAATATAAACGTTCCGTAAAAATTATACATTTGCAGCCATTTTCAAATGCTTCATTACCTGTCACTATACTGACTCTTAAAACCCATCAGACCAGCAAAGAATTTGAAGGAATTAAATAATAAATTCTGTAGAATGTTTCTAGAATGTATAGACTACATCTTTTTGTAATGGCTTAGACATAAAGCAGGTTAGCCAAGCAATTGAAGAATGATTTGCATTAGACTAAAGAAGACTGAACTAAAGAAAGAAAGACTAAAGAAAACTGAGAAAGAATTTTTTGCCTGGAACACGTAGGCACAAATAATTCTTTAGATCTAACATTAAAATTGTTAAATTTAACCAGTCTCACTTCGAAGTCGAACCTTAATCGCTGGAGAGGTTCCACCTTCTCATTTTGGTTCTTCATGTCATGAATGTATTATTATGATAGATATATAGATTATAATGGTACGCGATCGGTTTCGAGATATAAAAGTTCTTTTTATAATCTTCGCGGACTACAATCTCAAATATTAGAACTAAAGATATTCCCTAGCAAAAGAGAGGCTGTGTCTTAACTTTTGAATCTAAGCATCTATCATCTATCAATAAGAAACATTTGGCGATCAGCCAGAAGCCGGCCGATCTACAGAGGAGGGCAGCATCATTACTTACCCATGCGCATAATTTCGACGAGATGTATAATCTGGTCAGAATGTTTTCGAGCTGCGATGAGACCGCGAAGTATTAGAATTTTGAAGTACTGGAACATATCTGACTCCTCGCCGTCCATCACTTCTACAAACTCTTGAGTCAGCTGAAACAGTATAAAATTATGATGAACTTGTGGCCCATAGATATAGACAAGTACAACTGTGTTATAAGAATTATAATTCTGATGTGTTGTCACCGCTGAGGACTAAGATGAATAGCCTCGTTACCGAAATACTAGGGATCATTATAATGCTATTTTAGGCTGACATACTGTGCGAGTGGTACTTTACTGATGTAAGAATGTGAAGATTATGTAAGAATATCCACTACCCCATAAGGTCCCGTGGAGGTCGTTAGAGGGAAATAAATCAGAAGATGGGCAACATGCGACTTCCTAATAACGACGAGAAAATAAGAATACCATTAAAAACATAACTTGTAAAAAAAACAAGTCTGGCAACTCAGTTCTTCTACCGTAAAAAGTTGTCAGATCCATGTAATACCAAGTCGGTTAATTTATTCAGTTCCTACTTAAGGGTCCTTCTGTTTTAAGTTATTACGTAATTAGCTACCCTAACAACATTTTATAGTGACCATATCAATGTTAAAAGTCTTTTATGTTTTAAATATATAATATTATATTAAATTAGATTAATATAATATGTATTACTTGTGAATAATTAGAGCAGTTAGTGTATCTAGAAAAATGGACAGAAATTAACAAATATTTAAGTTTTTCCTTGATTTATACACTAAACACTAAATTGTATTCTAAATTTGAAGCTTCTATGTCTGCTAGAAGTGCCTTAGAGTTTTGATGATTGGTCAGTCAGTGATGAGTGGTCAATTCTTAAACTACTGGTTCAAATTGAATGAAATTTGAAATATACCATGTTTATACAATGCTTACTCGGTTACTGAAAATTCAGGCTTCTAGTTTAATTGACTACGAAGTTATAAGGGATCGAAAATGGCCTGAATTGCTTCGAGAAAAGATGGTACGGCCGTGCCGCTTTTTTGCTCGACTTGGCGGGGGCACTACCGTGCCCCCAGATACCTGCAGTTGCCAACACATTTGCTAAGCGTGGAAACTATGACAAATACCCTCCTTAGAAGGAAAGTATACAACATATTGCATTTTTATATTTGCAAGTTGTATGTGGTTTTATTACCTACAACTGACACGCGTATCGATAGAGTGGTCTATGACAACTGGCACTCCCTGGCCAATGGTTATAAAACTACAAACAATATGCAATAAAAAAATTATAATTTAACTATTTAAATTGGAGTTTTCTGAAGTGGTTATTTCTATACGTTTGAATACCTATTATGATAACGCACTTAACGGGAACGAACGGGTTTTTGTTACATGTTGTGTTTTAGCTGCAGACATTGTAAATAGTATTGAATTAATGTATAATTTTGTTCGTGTATAAGGCAAAATATAGCATTAATGCTAAAAATAAAAAAGTACATTATAAGGTTCAAATGTAATTGTGAGTTGCCAATAAATTACCGAAGTATTTCCTTGGACCTTATTGCTTTAGTAGAACTCGTATTAAAATGGAATTGCTTTCTCATAAATGGTGACGCCATTGAAACTCTACTCATGTTGATGAGTATTAACAATCTTCAGCTCGTTAGATGTCGATGGGACTCATGGAAATGAGGTGAAGTTATACAGTATCATCATTCATCATCATTACTAAAGTTGCTTTTTGAATAAAAGTTTTTCGGTTTCTAGTGTATGTATATACACAAAATAATGCCTCAGTGATGTGCTCTTCATTGAAATTCAATATTGAATCACTTTTGCAAACTGAGAAAGCTAAATATTGTTTAGTAATTATAAGTAAATTACCAGCAAATGACCTAATAGTTTCTTGTTGTCAAATACCCATGTGTTGCATTTAAATAACTGTGATATTATTAATAAATTAGAAAAAAACTAAACAAATAAATTACCTTGAAAGGTGAACTTTCAAAACCTAGATTCTTCGGAGACGTCGAGAAAATGAATCCAAAGTCAATGTGAATGATGTGGCCTGCGCTGTCCAGTAAAATGTTTCCATTATGTCTGAAAATATATAATAATTATTATAATTGGCATATTTTTTATAACTTTGCTCTTCTGACAAGAATGCAATATTCCATGCTCTGCTCATTTATCTACACTGTAGTAGTTAGTCTACTACGTTATATCACGTAGCAGACTACTACAGTGTAGATAAATTGCAGCACACCATTGCGCTCTATTGCACATCACAGCACATTGCACATTACTGAGTACTACTGCACACTTCTTTACTCACTAACAGCATACTACTTCATGTTACTGCGTACCATTGCACAACTACCTTACAGATAAAAGTCTATCTTCAACGTTAGACTTTTATGTGTAGGTTGAAATAAAGAGTCGTGTTTACGTCAAAGAGGTCCAAAGTTTGAAGACCGCCACAATACATAGTATAGGTGATTTCAAATAAAAGAAGCATTATTTATACGTATTTTCAAAAACTGTAATACCGATATGTCATTATTTTTATATCTGAACTTAAATATAAAATTTGGCTACTGTTTGAAAAATAACCCTTGTATATAATTGTATATTTCTCTCACGTTTTCTTAAATTATTTTTTACACTTATTACCTCTGTTTAAGCACTTAACTTCCGTGAACGCAGGAATAATTGTACTGTGGCGGTCTTCAAACATTGGACCTCTATGACGTAAACACGACTCTTTATTTCACCCTACACATAAAAGTCTAACGTTGAAGATAGACTTTTATCTGTAAGTTAAGTGTGCAATGGTAAGCAGTAACATGAAGTAGTATGCTGTTAGTGAGTAAAGAAGGGTGCAATAATAAACAGTGTGCAGTAGTATGCAATGCAATAGTGGTGTATGGTGTGCAATAGTGTGCTGCACTTAGGCTTAGGCGGATTCCACGAAGTTGAGCTGCGTGCGCAGGAAGTGTGCAGTAGTCTGGTGTAACGTGCAGTCACCTGTCGAGCTGCAGCAGGTAGCGAGTTAGCGCGTGGGCGGCAGCGGATTCCACGAAGTTGAGCTGCGCGCGCGTAGGAAATGTGCAGTATTGTGGTGTAGCGTGCAGTCACCTGTCTTTGAGATACAGCAAGTAGTTAGTTAGCGAGTAGGCGGCAGCGGATTCCACGAAATTGTGCTGCGTGCGCAGGAAGTGTACAGTAGTGTGGTGTAACGTGCAGTTGCCTGTCCTTGAGCTGCAGCAGGTAGCGAGTTAGCGCGTAGGCGGGAGCGGACTCCACGAAGTTGTGCTGCGCACGCACAGGAAGTGTGCGGTATTGTGGTGTAGCATGTAGTCACCTGTCCTTGAGCTATAGCAGGTAGCAAGTTAGCGCGTAGGCGGCAGCGCACTCCACGAAGTTGTGCTGCGCGCGCAGGAAGTGTACAGTATTGTGGTGTAGCATGTAGTCACCTGTCCTTGAGCTGTAGCAGGTAGCTAGTTATCGCGTAGGCGGCAGCGGACTCCACGAAGTTGTGCTGCGCGCACAGAAAGTGTGCGGTATTGTGGTGTAGCATGTAGTCACCTGTCCTTGAGCTGTAGCAGGTGGCTAATTAGCGCGTGGGCGGTAGCGGACTCCACGAAGTTGTGCTGCGCGCGCAGGAAGTGTGCAGTATTGTGGTGTAGCATGTAGTCACCTGTCCTTGAGCTGTAGCAGGTAGCTAGTTAGCACGTAGGCAGCAGCGGAATCCACGAAGTTGTGCTGCGCGCGCAGGAAATGTGCCGTATTGTGGTGTAGCGCTCAGTTACCTGTCCCTGAGCTGCAACAGGTAGCTAGTTAGCGCGTGGGCGACGGCGGACTCCACGAAGTTGTGCTGCGCGCGCAGGAAGTGTGCAGTATTGTGGTGTAGCATGTAGTCACCTGTCCTTGAGCTGTAGCAGGTAGCTAGTTAGCGCGTGGGCGGTAGCGGACTCCACGAAGTTGTGCTGCGCGCGCAGGAAGTGTGCAGTATTGTGGTGTAGCATGTAGTCACCTATCCTTGAGCTGTAGCAGGTAGCTAGTTAGCACGTAGGCAGCAGCGGAATCCACGAAGTTGTGCTGCGCGCGCAGGAAATGTGCCGTATTGTGGTGTAGCGCTCAGTCACCTGTCCCTGAGCTGCAGCAGGTAGCTAGTTAGCGCGTTGGCGGTAGCGGACTCCACGAAGTTGTGCTGCGCGCGCAGGAAGTGTGCATTATTGTGGTGTAGCATGTAGTCACCTGTCCTTGAGCTGTAGCAGGTAGCTAGTTATCGCGTAGGCGGCAGCGGACTCCACGAAGTTGTGCTGCGCGCGCAGGAAGTGTGCATTATTGTAGTGTAGCATGTAGTCACCTGTCCTTGAGCTGTAGCAGGTAGCTAGTTAGCGCGTAGGCGGCAGCGGACTCCACGAAGTTGTGCTGCGCGCGCAGGAAGCCTTCGCTAGTGGGCGGCCCGTGCTCCAGCTCCAGCCACGCGCGAAGTGACTTGCCCGATTGCTTCTTGATTTGGTGTAACGACACAGAATTCAGCACCTGCAAATACAGAAATAGGCCGTTTAAACTGACATCCAAAAAGAAAGGTGGTATATTCGACGGTGGTATATTTGCATATATTTTTACCATTTTTTCTGAAAAGGCTTAGCCGATTTAAAACAGTATTTTTTTTATCAAATATGTAGATTAAATGATTTAAATGGTCGTTCCATTAATATATTACATATAATATATTAATGGAACAACTATTTAAATTTGTAGGGAAAATTCCACCCCTAAATGGGGAAATAGGTGATGATATTTTTACTGTAAATTATTTAGGCGATATTATAGTATTACCTTGAAATTATGGTATCGCTCTTTCCACTCAAAGGGACACGAATTCACAAATAATTAAAAGTTGTATGAGCTACTCTAACATGTTTATTGATATTAAATAAAAGTTTATTGATATTAAGTAATTTTATAACTATTAACTTCGGAAGTATTATAAATTTTTCACAATCGTGATGATTGTACCGCTGGATATATGGGAAGGACACAAAACACCAGCGTAAAATAACCGCTTAATTTTGCTGTGCGATGTTCATAGGGTGAATGTAGAGAACCGAAGATCCTTTAAGTGGAAACGAGGGCATTCCATCTTAGTTCTAAGGGGGTGACAACTCACTAGCATTTTAATTCGATTAGAGGATTTAGATAATAGGAGTAAGAAGTGTGCACACTAACGGGCTGTATGAGACCGCACTCGCGGTCGAGGCAGAGGATCTCGTAGGGGTGCAGCTTGAGCGGCACGCGCTCGGCGTCCCAGGCGGCGCGCAGACGGCGCAGCAGCTGCGCGGCCAGCAGCTCCTGGCGCAGGTCATCGCCCACCTTCACGATGCAGCCCAGCAGCCGCCAGCCGCCCAGCGCGCCGTACGGCGACGCGCCGCGCATGCGCGCCAGTTTGCTCTCCCACGACTCCTGCGCACACGAACACACACGTACACACACACACACACACTCACACACACACACACACACACCTCACACACACACACACTGCGCCCGCCACACTCTTGCTTCATATGCACAATTACCCTCAGCCTTATTGGGCAGGGAAGTGAGCAGTGCGTGTATGCAGACAGGTTACACGCGCTGTCACTGCCCGGCGCTCCTTCGATTGTCGATTTTTCGCCTGGAAGTCAAAAGACGGGGAACAAGAGCGCGAGCGAGTATTTACATTCTCCCTCACTTGCGTTCGATTTGAATTTTGATTTGCTGCGTTGAAGTTCAACTGAGAAAAACGTGCTACGGTTACATATTGTTACCCGACTACGGCATTTGTTTTATTTATCTGTCCTGTGTTTTTACTTTGATATGCCACCGCCCACTCTACCGCTACAGGAGTGGAGTAATGATAAAACAATTAAATTTTTAAAACTTTATGAAACTGAGCGGGTAATATGGGATTCTCATGATAAAAACGGCGTCTTTTATTTATTTTTTATACGCCTAAATAGTTACTTATACTAAGCAGACGTAAGTGCTGTCGCATCAACAACCTCGACGTCAGTCATTGTTGCGAGTTGACCAATAAAGAACTATGAAGACTGAGTGTGGAGACACACTGGCGTCGTTATTGCCGCAGAAGTATTCAGGAAAATATTTCCGGCAGCGACGCAGTGGCAGTGGCTAAGTAGGATAAACAAAGCCAATCACTCACACAAAACATGTATTATTTTAACACCATACTGCGTCACACGCGCGCATATTGCTGTCGATTAATTTATAGTGTCAAAAAATACCAAGCTATTAATAATGGCAATGCGATGCCAATTCGAAAGTGTATGGACTTAAAGTTAGTACGCAATGCGAAGTAAATGTCAGTTTGAGTCTTCCTTGCTTTTCGAGGCACGGGATGTAACGCCGCTAATATCATGACTCCGAAATATTGTAAATTTCTTCACAGAAAAACCCAATAATTGGTTTAGATCCGACCCAGGATTTGAACCCAGGATAATCAGCAACCACGTTTACAAGCACTGGACCAACAAGGCAGTCGAAGGCAGTATAGTAACCGTGTTGAGTGTCTTTTTATGTATCACTTTGTATTATTGTCGTATCCCCTAATAGCAAGTTGATAATTTAGAAATGTTAGGGAGAGCATATTTATTGCACGTTCAGGACATGTTAAGGTGATACCTCGAAAATTTGGTGGTTTTTCTATTTAGCATATTTTTTTAAGTTTTTTAGATTACAAACCAAAATTTTGGTATATGATTTTTGACTATGATCTTGGATTGCATAAAAGGAAAACACGATATCACGTAATATTCTCGATAGAAAAAAATTGCAAAGTAGGCTCTAATTATTTACATTTCTCGATGACACCACAATATTCTTACGAATAGTTTCATGGAATTATTTTTAAGGCATAGTAAATAATATAAAAAAATATCTAAGTTCTCATAAACAAGTTTTTTAATCCAAAACGAAGTTTTGTTAAAATAAATAAAAATTTTTTCCGCTCTCTATGGCTATCTCATAATTTGCATACTATGAAGTTATTGCATAACTTTCATTTTGACACTCCCGATCCGTTACCTTCACCGACAAAAGAATAAGCCACGCCCTCAAAACTTCGATTCATTTTTTAGGTATCCTCTTAACAAGAACCAGAAAATTTTAAATTTTCAAGTAAATTCGATCACTACAGGCCTACACTTAAATAGGTTGAAAACGTACGAGATTGTTGTTTAGCTGACCTTGAGCGCGAGCGCAGAGGGGTCGGCGGGGTCGTGGCGGAAGGCGTTGGGCGGGCGCGCGGCCGTCGCGTCGGCCAGCCGCCGCCGCACCTCGCCCGCGCCCACCGCCAGCGACTCGCGCGACCCGCACGACGACGCCGAGTGACCCGACTGCACCGACGCCACAGACAAGCCCGACATCTGCCACATTACACTGCCCTTACTGACACGTTCATTCATTTTATATACTAGTAGTATATAAATAGTCCCCTAGTGAACAAAATTCGACCGTAATTCATAAAAATTTTGAGTTTCTATATCAAGCAAGCTCAGTTTCCTTTTAACTGCACATTAATAAATAAAACATATACATAAAATACAAAATAAAAACCTTTATGCCTTGACATACACTCTACACACTATCGAAAAAAAATCATTTGATTTAATTAAACAAAAATCACAGGTTATATATCTTCAATCTGTCAGTAATTATTTGTTGGCAACGTTTTAAAATTCCTTGCCGATAATCTCTACTTTATGCGACTTTGTAATATAACATAAATATGCCTGTACTTACAAGTTTGTAAGTACTTTCAAACACTGTTTTTTTATAGAAGAGGGGGCAAACGAGCATGCGGCTCACCTGATGTTAAGTGACTACCGCCGCCCATGATCAACCGCAACACCAGGGGAATTGCAGGTGCGTTGCCGGCCCTTTAGAAAGGAGTAAGCTCTTTTCTTAAAGGTCCCCAGGTCGTATCGGTCCGGAAAAATCGCCGGTGGTAAACTATTCCACAGAGAGGTTGTACGCGGAAGAAAACTCCTCTTGAAACGTACAGTGGTGGACCGCCAAGCATCCAAATGGTGTGAATGGTATCGGGACGTTTGCCGCGTAGTGCGTTCACGAAATTTGGCGGCCGGGATTAATCCGAACAATTCCTCAGAGCACTCCATGGTATATGCGAAAGAAAATGCAAAGAGATGCCAACATCTCTTCGCAGTGCAAAGACTCGACTTCAGACACAAGTTTCTCCCGGCACTCGGAGACGTTTGCCCGAGAAATATTGGCTCGGCCGGTGTAAAGAGCATCACCAGTGCTGTCATCTGCATAGCAATGAATGTTACGGTTTTGCAACATATCATTGATATGCAGAAGTAACAGCGTTGGCGATAGCACGCAGCCTTATGGAACACCAGCATTAATAGGCTTGCAATCGGAGCTTGCACCGTCTACAACGACCTTGATGCTCCGATCTGCAAGAAAGCTGGTGAACCAATCGCACAATTTCCCGGGAAGCCCATAGGAAGGGAGCTTCGAAAGAAGCGCTTTGTGCCAAACCCGGTCAAAGGCCTTCGCAATGTCCAAACTAACGGCCAATGCCTCCCCCTTGGACTCTAGTGCCTCCGCCCATCTGTGAGTTAGGTTGACCAGAAGATCATCAGCTGACCGACCACGGCGAAAACCGTATTAGCGGTCACTAATCAGCTGGTGATCCTCAACTGTGTTTGACATTGGCAATACGAACGTAAACATTGCAATTTAAACAATTTCGGAGCCAAAACCCCACCCAAAAAAAAAAAAAAAAAAAAAAAAAAAAAAAAAAAAAAAAAAAAAAAAAAAAAAAGAAATATTTTATTCTATTTTATTTAGTGTATTTGTGACACTCTGTCTGCACTTCTCGATATAACTAGAACTATGCCTGTTCGTGTCATCATCAGATGCGGTATCGCCAATAAAAAGTCTACAATTTTCGACACTTACCGTACGGAAGACTTACGAGTATATGCCGCTATTTCACGCTGGTATTCTTTGGCGACGTGGTCCTTCCCCAGTTGGGAGGACCCATTCGCACTGTATACCAAATTGCAGTGTGACTACCATATTTAAAAAAATTCTTCGCAGACCCATGTCAAATAGCAGTCGACTGTTTATTAAATATAATTTTATTTATGATGAACTAATGAAATTTTATTGTGGCATTAGTTATAACATTTCCATAATTTCTTGCTAAATTCAATATCGATAATATAAATATTATCGTTCTATTTATCTTTTACCTAAATACCAAACATTTTTTATGACTGCTTCAATAGTCATAAATGTAACGAAACGTGAATTGCAAACACATTAAATGATAATGTGGTTACGATAATCCACACGTACTTAAAACCTTTAACTTTAACTAATAAACACGAAAAAATAAATAGAACGTCAAAAGCGGAGGCAAATCTATAACGGAGACAGACTAAATCTTTATTACAATGATTATTTAATAAGTAAAGCGAGTTCAAACAGTAACGAATTTCTAACTAACCTCAGATGTAATAAAAAAAGACAAAAACAGTTGAATTGACAACTTTCTACAATCTTGTAGCGTTATATTATACCTTGGGTGTTCGTAAGAGGTGTAAAAGGGAAACTGAACCGGGCGATTAGAAGTAAAGGTATGGACTAATCGTCAGCTAAGCCGTCGTTTCACGGTTTGATCTACTAAGCAATCTAAAACAAACTGGTGTACATAAAATAAAAATGTGCTTGGTACTCCCGTAATGCTATTGTAATCATGTCCTAGGCTTCAAAATACACATTAGGTGGCCAATTTCATTGCTGAATATAAAGAGGTCGAAGAGAAACATAGAGAGTTGAGTTATTTGCTGATTATGGTAACAGTACTAATTATCTGTAACATAGTGTGTATAAATGGATGTCTTGTGTTGTTCGAAGGTATAGTGGCAAAGGAGTCCTTTTTAATGAATTCTATATTTTTCCTTACTTGATAGTTTGTACCAAGCTTGGACACATTGATTGTCAAGATAAAACAGTTTTTATTTAGTAATGTCACTTATATAGTTATAATTTAATGTTGCAAACACTATTAACAAACCATTTTATGATAATTACATAAGAATGGGCTCCCAGTACTAAATATTTTTATCATCATTGTCTATCATGATAACATCATATAAATAGTCCACAGCTAAAATTGAGACTTTTGAATAGTAGGTACATATTTATTTATCAGAACATAAAAGTCCAACCCTGGACTTGAGCATCGGAAAGGTTTGCTGTGATTGCCATGGATTGGCAATCGTACCTCTTGACGAGCCCAGTCATTGGCATGGTTATTTTACACCTCTTTCGCGATGCCGCGCCGACACGCGTTTACTTATTTCTGAATCTATAACTTCCATATTATCAAATATGGAAAATGAAAACATGTTCCTCTGTTTCCGATAATATATCTCACAAATAAAACGATACCAAATAGTTCTTACTAACTATTACACAAATCAAGCATACCTGAGATAGACTGTCAGGCGCCGGCGCTCTCGTTGGATAGTGGGCGCCGAGATCGTCATCATCGTGACTCCAGCAGTCTCCGGCATCCACGTCGTCCAGCGCACTGTAGAGGGAGAGCGCGGGCCACTCGGGCACCAAGTTCTCCTCGCTCTTCGTATGTCGGATAGGTGGCGAGTGTGGCGCCGGGGGGTGCGGGTGGCAGCAGGCGGGGAGGGAGCGGCTCGTGGCCGTCTGTCTCCAGCACCTCTACGTACATTATGTACGGCGCCTGTGGACGATGATGGTAAGCGTCACTATAAAAAATACTACAAACCTAAATTCTACTTTCGATAAAATATCGACAAAATCAAATAAATGAAGGAGAAAGTAGTAAACCTACGAAAGCGGTAAAACCAATTACTGCACTGGCAGTGATTCCGTAAAGTTGTTCTCGCTATTACATTATAAGAAAAGAGAAAAACTTTAGGATATTTCCCAACATTCAAGAAAAAAGTGAAATATTGAAAAAAAAAACAAGGAACGAGATTTAGTTTATAAAATTGAAGTGACAAACTTATAGTCCACCTGATGGTATGTGACTGCTGTAGCCATGGCAACCACCTTCAAGAAAAAGGCTACAGATGCGTTGCCACCTCGGAGGATTAAGATGGAATGCCTCTGATGAATGGAATCACTGGCCTTCTATACGCTTTAGACCGGATCCGTCCGTACTGTATCAACTGCAGTGATCTCACTAATGTAACATATTCTTATAGTTTCTCTTAATATTATATTATAAAGTTACAATTTTATACATTTCATTTTCAACAATCTCTATATATAAAAATCAATTAATATCCGTTAAGTCTCGCTAAAACCCGAATTGATTTTAATGAAGTGGCTAATGAATGGCTCGATTGATTTAAATGAACTTTTTTGTGTGTGTTCAAGTAGGTTCCTGGATGGTTTAGATTCACAATTAGACCCAGTAGTTGGCGCTGTTGGCGAGATCCAGAAATCACACGTGCGAAGCCGGGGCGGACACAATTTGTTAATATACGATGATTAGTTCAGGAGTTCTGAGCAGGCAGAAACTGATATACTTACGTAGTACATTTATACTGGTGCTGCAGACCAAGCTTTTGGTTAGTACGCATTACAAAATAAAATAATAAAACCATTTTCGATAAAAGAGAAATAAGCAACGTTCCACCATAATGTCTTTCTTTCTTGGCTTTCCTGGCTAAAATGATTTCGCCAAGTGCGTTCTCACAAATCGGATTGATGTCAGCTACAAATTTAAATAAACCTGACCTTATTCATATTAAAATACAATTTTAATGGTCTGTTTTTATAAGCATGGCAAATTATTTGTTGTGATAGTTAAGTTCTCGTGTGACTGTTAAGTCTAAATCGAAAGAAATTTAACTAAAATTACAACAATTTTTACGCCCTGGATAAAATAGAAAAGTTGCATATTTTTAAGGTTAATAATAATTAAATTTTTATAATGAGAATCTTTTAATGGTAAAAAAAGTTGGCAACCCTAATGCATAAACAGATAACAGCCAAAAGTAAACAAATACTCAAAAGTATTTGTGTCAAAGTTATTTTTGCAAAAAAAAAGATCAACTGGAATATTAAAAAAAGTTTACTTTAGACTCCTCCGCAATCGGTTGAAATTACTATCTAAATAAAAACTTCCTCTTTTTTTGAAGTCGGGTATAACCTCCAGATTAGTTTTATTTTGGTTAAATATTGAGTTTTTCTGTACACGAAATTAAATACCTCATTATCATATTTGACAAATAACGGTGGTCCAACTATAGGTTTGTTATCGTCAGTGTATTTGCGAGCATCAGTAGAAAGAGTATCTTAAAATAAACGCAAAGAACGCACAATGACAATTCATCATTCATTATTAAATTCCTTCACAAGTCCACTGCTGAACATAAGTCTCCCCCAAGTAATGCAACAAAGCACGGTCTCGAAGCACCTGCATCTATCGACTTCCCGCATGTCTTACCAGGTGGCTACTCCGTCTAGCTGGAGGGCGCTCTATACTTTGTCTACCGGGTACCGGTAAGAGGCTGCCAATCATAAACCTTTTTCCCCATCGGTTGTAGGTTCTTCGAGCTATTGACCAGCCCATTGCCACTTCAACTCACTAATCCGTTGGGCTATGTCGGTTACTCTAGTTCTGTTGCGGATATCTTCATTTCTAAGATTATCACACAGAGAAACTCCAATCATAGCCCTTCCATAGTTCGTTAAGTGATTTTGAGCTTTCTCATACGCCCAGCAATGAAGTACCACATCTCAGATTCGTAACTCATCACTGGCAATGCGCACTAGTGGTACAATTTTGTTCTCTAGTTTTGAGGTATACCTAACGAGATGTGACACAATTTTCTGAACCCTCGTCAACAACGTCGAGCTTAGTGCTTCCAACAACTACCAGCAGAGCGGTAGCACATAACCTTTATTTTGTCCATGTTTATTTTAAGACCTATCCTTTGGGAGGCACTATTAAGATCATTGAGCAAAGTGCTTAGGTCCTCTGGCGATTCTGCCATTAGGGCTATATCATCGGCAAATCATAGATGAGTGATGTACTCACCATTGATGTTTATCCTTTCCAGTCCAGGAGCTTGAGGTCTTAAAATGCAGCGGTGAATAGATTCGGGGATATAACGTCAACCTGTATTACACCTCTCTGCATTTGAATAGGTTTCGTATTCTGGTTCTATACTCGGATAGACTTCGTAGCCTTACTGTACAAACACTTCAGTACTTCTATATACCGACAATCAAATTAGCACCGCTGAAAAGACTGTAGCACCGCCCAAATTTCGACGGAATCAAAGACTTTCTCATAGTCCACATACGCAAGGCAAAGTGGCAGATTTTACTCTTTGGTCCTCTTTACAATGAATGGTACTGAAGCCTTTTCGGAAATCGGTTTGTTCGAGAGGCTGCAAGTCGTCAAGTCTGCGTGCGAGACAATTCCTTAATGACTCGCGAAAACAGCTCGATAACACTCGAAAAACACGTTGAGAAGACAAATCGGTCGGTACTTCTTCGTAAGAGCGTTGTCGCCTTTCTTGAAGAACACGACCACCTCTCTTCTGCTTCACACCTTCGGAGTGATGGCTCGATAGAGGACGGAATTAAAGAGCTTCTGAAGGGCTTCAAGTAATGAAAATTAAAATGTCATAATCACATTGCATCTCTAATGTAGGTAGTGTTCTCTGCTTACTTGTAAATTAAATGGTAGAGAATAAATTTTTTGTGCAATAAAGTTTAAATAAAAATAACTAAACGTCTAGATAGAAAAATTTTATGAGGAGCAACATATGGATAGACTGTTACTCACCCGATGGTAAGAAGGCTAACTAATATCTCGACAAATAAAAATATTTCATATTATGAAGTCCATAAATACGCTTATACTTGCTTTTCTACGTTACCCCTTGAAAAATTAAGAACCTTTATTCTCTAATGGATGTTGGTTCGAGCTGCGAGTAAATGGCCAGTCCATTGTAGCTCATTACATATTACGCGCCACAGTAGCTCAATGGTTAGTGTACGGACTGCTAACTTAAAAGGTCAAGGGTCCGAATCCGCAATTCGACTACTGCCGCGAGTTGTTCTGAGGTCGTGAACAACCAAAAGAAGCATATTAAGCTTACTTGTAAGCGGTTAACGGAAACATTACATTACATTTTATATTGTAGCCTATAAAAGTCAGCTGTCGAACACAGGCTTCTCGATAGCACGAATGGGTCGGTTCGACCTGGGCAGAACCACGCTCTCATAGAATACCAGCGTAAAATAACAGCGTAATGCTGCTGTATTTCGTTCGGTGAGTGCAGAGAAACGTATCCTTTTTTACTGGAATCGAGGCATTCCATCTTAGTCCTCAGGGGTGACAACGTATTTGCATTTTGATTCTTAATTGAGGATAGATGTGGATGTCTATGGGCTTACCATCCACTTACCATCAGGTGAATTGTGTGCTTGTTTTCACTCAACGCTATTAAAAAAGATTACTTCATAAAGAGAATATTTGCCATTGTTACCAGGCTCGGCTAGCGGGTTGACAAGCGCAGTTATTTGTTTATTAATTTTATAACAGGTCCCTTTTCCAGTAACAGGGGTCTCCGCTTCTCTACACTCACCATACGAAACACAGCAGCGTTTAGCTACTATTTTACGCTGGTATCCTGTGAGAGCGTGGTCCTACCCCGGTCGAGCCGACCCATTCGTGTTACCACTACCAACACAGCTGCAACATGGCTCTACCACGTAAAAATATAATAATTAATATCCTAACAGAGTTATCACTTCCAAAATACTTTTAATAACACTATTCTCCCTACTCTTACATCACATAGTGAAAGCCTATTTACGTAGTCTTATAAATTAGGTCGAAATTGTTTGAACTACATCCCGATGGTAATACAATACAATCCAATAATTGTTATTGCCTACTAACATTAATATAAGAAACCTTGGCCAGTAGCAGTAAGTGGAGGCAAACGACTTACGTAAAGATCTACTTGTAATTTAATTTAAAGGCTTAAAAGACAGCAGTGTAAAAATTTAAGTACATAGGAGTTGTAGTATTATGTACTATTTGATATTTTGTGCCTAAAATAAATGTACTTTTTATCAGATTGCGCCAGAAGATGAGTTATATTTTTCGGAAATATACATTACTAAATAGGGTAAACAACTTAAGTTATTTTTAAGTGCGAAATAGCGACTCGCTTTTTTTATAGGATAAGGATGACAAACTGACACACAGTCCACCTGATGGTAAGTGGATGCTGTGGCCCATAGACATCTACATTTAACCTCGCTTAAGAATCAAAATGCAGATGCGTTGTCACCCTTGAGCACTAAGATGGAATGCTTCGATTCCAGTAAAACGGGTCTCCAGTTCTCTACACTCACCATACGATACACAGCAGCATTAAGCTGGTATTCTGTGAGCGCGAGGTCCTTCCCGGGTCGAGCCGCCCATTCATGCTACAACCATAATAGCTGCAGTGTGGCTCTATCACGTAAAAAAATAATTTCCTTTATTTACTATATCATTTCCCGCAAGGAATGTCACAAAGCATAGTCCTGAACTACCTCCTTCCATTGAAGTCCTGGATCTCTTACTAGATCGTCACTCCATCTAGTAGGGGGACGCCAAAAACATAAAAATTTTAAACTCCTTTTTTTGAAGACTGCTAACAATAGTTTTCTCACACCTTCTTCCAAATCTCACCTTGTCCTTGCTATTTAGCACGGCGGCAGCGTGCGGTGGTATCCGTAGCACGTAGTGTGGTCGTTTGTGCAGTGGAAGCCAAACTCGTGCTGGCAGGTTCAAATCCAGTGTCGCCAACTCGGCTCGAAGTCTACCGTTCCTTCGCTCTTTGTCCGCGACGCTGGCCAGACGCCGACCGATGTTCGTAAGGGCCGTGAGAAACTGAGGAACAAGAAAAGTAAAGGCATAATGACATAATCAGTTGAGACTTAGTTATGTCAATATCTATACCGGTTGATTAAAACTACTTTTACGGATTTTATCGCGTTTTATTTATATTAATTTTAATACCCGACGTTTCGGGTGCTTTCCAGCACCCATGGTCACGGGGGACTGAGGTGACTGACGTCCCGATGTCAAAGTTAACCCGGAGTACCTTCAGCTTTTTAATTATTGTCTTTGGTCCGATCTACGCAGAATGAACTAACTGTATTTTGAAGTCTTGCAGTGGTATGCTTGGGTTTAGTTTTAATTTTATTAATTATAGGATCCCAAGCAGGTGGTAGTACCCAGCCTCCTTCTCTATTGAAATTAGGATTTTTTTAATTTCAATAGCCTCACGTATCATCCTTGGTAGGAATCGATGTTCCTTCGCGAGGATTTGTGGTCTATCAAATCTGATGTAATGGTTGGGGCCATCTAGAATATGAATGCAAACTGCAGACTTCCCAGAACGTTGATGCTTCACGTCAGCTATGTGTTCTTTTACGCGGCTTCTAATTGATCTCTTTGTTTGCCCTATATATGAGAGACCACAATCACAATCAAGCTTGTACACGGAACATGACGGATGGTAAGAACTGACTAATCTTCTTCGGCGGCTTGTAGAATGTTCTAATAGAAGCTCGCTTCAAGATGTAGCCAATCTTGTCTGTGACACCTCTGACATATGGTAGTATAGCAGGCACACGCTCGACTGTGGCCGGCTTCACTCCGTCACTGTGACGGAGGCGCGGGACCCGAAGCTTGTTGTCGTGCAGAACCTGCTTGACGTGCTGAAGCTCGGCGGCCAGGTGTTTGCTGTCACAGATCCCTCGTTCTCTCTGAAACAAAGATTTGCCCACGGTAGCTAACTGTGAAGGATGTAGGTGAGATTCACCATTTAAGTATTGGTTTGTATGGGTCTTTTTTCTATACACAGTATGACCTATGGTATTGTTAGGATTTCGGATGACTAACACATCTAGGAAAGCGAAGGAATTATTTGCCTCTAACTTCATAGTAAATTGAATTTTAGGGTTTACGGAATTAAGATGTTCTAAAAATGCAGTTACTTTGTCTGATGGTAAAATTGTGAAAGTATCGTCTACGTACCGCTTGTAGAACCTTGGGGTAACAGGTGCAGTAAGGAGGGCTTTCTCCTCAAAGTCTTCCATGAATATATCGGCGACAATGGGAGATACAGGTGAGCCCATCGCAACACCATCTACTTGCTTGTAAAACTCTTCCTTCCACAATAGATAGCCAGATGTAAGGCAATGTCTGAGTAATACTGCATATTCTGCTGGCATATTATTTTCCTCTAGTTTCCTAGTTATAATTGAGATGTAGTCTTCAACAGGTAGGCATGTAAATAGAGACTGAACATCAAAACTGACCATGGTTTCATTGTCAGTAAGACGTAGGTCTTTTATCTCACTGACAAAATGGTATGAATCCTTAGTGTGTGCTCTTGTGTGTCCTCTGAATGGTGATAATATTTTAGCTAAGTATTGAGCCAATCTGTAAGTTGGCGAATCAATCTGACTCACTATTGGACGTAATGGAGCGTTCCGTTTGTGTATTTTTGGTAACCCATACAACTTGGGAGGTTTTGCACACGAAGGTATCATCGAATTGACGTCTAGATTCAATTTCTCGGAGTATTTCTTAATTAGATCGCTAGTTGTTTTAAGCGTATTAGTTGTAGGGTCTGTTTTGACCTTACGGTACGTACTTTCAGTCATCCGAAATCCTAACAACACCATAGGTCATACAGTGTATAGAAAAAAGACCCATACAAACCAATACTTAAATGGTGAATCTCACCATCATCCTTCACAGTTAGCTACCGTGGGCAAATCTTTGTTTCAGAGAGCACGAGGGATCTGTGACAGCAAACACCTGGCCGCCGAGCTTCAGCACGTCAAGCAGGTTCTGCACGACAACAAGCTTCGGGTCCCGCGCCTCCGTTACAGTGACCGAGTGAAGCCGGCCACAGTCGAACGTGTGCCTGCTATACTACCATATGTCAGAGGTGTCACAGACAAGATTGGCTACATCTTGAAGCGAGCTTCTATTAGAACATTCTACAAGCCGCCGAAGAAGATTAGTCAGTTCTTACCATCCGTCAAGTGTCATATTCCTCTACAAGATGCAGGAGTGTACAAGCTTGATTGTGATTGTGGTCTCTCATATATATGGCAAACAAAGAGATCAATTAGAACCCGCGTAAAAGAACACATAGCTGACGTGAAGCATCAACGTTCCGGGAAGTCTGCAGTTTGCGATCATATTCTAGATGGCCCCAACCATTACATCAGATTTGATAGACCACAAATCCTCGCGAAAGAACATCGATTCCTACCAAGGATGATACGTGAATTAAAAAACATCCTAATTTCAATAGAGAAGGAGGCTGGGTACTACCACCTGCTTGAGATCCTATAATTAATAAAATTAAAACTAAACCCAAGCATACCACTGCAAGACTTCAAAATACAGTTAGTTCATTCTGCGTAGATCGGACCAAAGACAATAATTAAAAAGCTGAAGGTACTCCGGGTTAACTTTGACATCGTAACGTCAGTCACCTCAGTCCCCCGTGACCATGGGTGCTGGAAAGCACCCGAAACGTCGGGTATTAAAATTAATATAAATAAAACGCGATAAAATCCGTAAAAGTAGTTTTAATCAATATATAGTGTTCGCGTAAATATAAGAAATCATTATCTATACCGGTTCGTAAAAACAAGACCTCAAAGAAGAACCGGCAAGAAAACCTCCGAGTCTTTTTTAAAGCGGTGTTACAACTTAATTTACAATTAAAACTTATAATAAAATATATTTAATATTAAAATGTCAGCTTAACAAAATGACAAGGGGACTTGCGTGCACAGTAAGTAATTATCACGCATCATTATTCTCAAAATACTGATCTATTTTATAGTAGGCTTTTAATCATATTTTATATCCGGTTGTTGTTGTGTTTCTATTGCAAAAATTTTAAAAGAAAAACCTTTAGTTCTAGTATCTGAGGAATTATTCAAATAAGACTTTCTAGTTTTATCTGAACTAAATTTTGGTAACTAGCTTGTCACAACAATCCGTTCCACAGGAAATAAGTCTGCTTTTATTATTAAATAAATTTATATTTTTATTGACATTGTCAATTGTACAGGATATATGTATCATGATACCGTCAGTTGTACAGGATATATGTATAAACACAGAAACAGAAACTTTTTATTCAATATGGATTATAAATAATACTTATTGAAATTCACTTTTTTTGTCACATTCAAAACATCATGATGATATTTTCAATTGAACAGGATATTTTTTATTCCGCGTGATAAATTAATAATATATATTACTGATGTGTTGGTTATTTTTAGAGTTGGGCCGATTAGTACTTTGGCCGATTGGCCGATTAGCCGATTAATCGGTTAAGAAATGGTGGAACAAAAATTCTTCCAGATATCCAGAAATGTTTAGCCAGTTTTCCTTTGCTGCCCAGCCAGCTCTGAGTATAGTGAGAGACTTTTATCTGAGGCAAGGAATATCTAGTATCTAGGAATCAAATTATTAGATGATTATAAATTCTTTATTTAATAACATTACAGGAAAAAACAATTAATTGTAATTTTGAGTATAGAAAAATAACAATTTGATTTAAATTTTTGTACAAAATCAATAACAATTTACTTTTAAGTACAGAAAGAAATATGTTCTATTTGTCTTTTAAACATCTACATGCGCGTAGTTTAACAATCTTTATTCAAGAATTAAGTTTTTTTTGTTAGCAAACTTGACTTAAAATTTGTTTTTTTTTAAAGTTTATTAAGAATAATATTATTATTTTATTTTGTTGTGTCACTACTCTGCATTACGATTAGAAAAAGTTAAAAAGAAGAATTAAAATAGTAAGTACTTAGGTTTTTGTTTAATTTTAAATAGCTACCTCAGGTTCTTTTTTCACCAAAGTTCCTATGTCCAGAATAATTAACATAAAACATCTGAGACTGAATTTTCAATAAAAGTTATGTATGAACCTACTTATTTTATTATTTATTTGATTTATCTACATATAACTCTGACGCGAGTTTACGCATGGGAGATAAACTATACTTTTCTTAAATTTAAAGCTCTACTCTTATCCATGTAGCCGCAGTTACCACGCAGAAAATCACGAAAAAACTTTGCTGAAATTAATAAAATAAAAAGCCGATTAATCGGCCGTTTTAGCAGATTAATCGCCGACTAATCGGTGACTACAAATAGACCGATTAATCGGCTTCCCCGATTAGTCGGCGGCTAATCGGCCCAACTCTAGTTATTTTGTCTTTTTGCATTTTTCCAATTAATTTCAATTTATTCAATTTATTTCATTTATCTCTCTCTCTCTCTCTCTCCCTCTCTCTCTCTCTCTCTCTCTCTCTCTCTCTCTATATATATATATATATATATATATATATATATATATATATATATATATATATATATAAATTATTTGCTATCCGTTAGTCTCGCAAAGACTCGAAAATGGTTCGCCGATCTTGATATTTTTATGTGTATATGAGTGGGTCCCTCGACGGTTTAAAAACTCAATTGGACCCGATAGGTGGCGCTGTTGTTGAGATCCAGAAATCACCCGTGCGAAGCCGCGGCTGATCGCTAGTTCAGTTAATATAAATTAAATATTACAGTAATGCGCGATCAGACTTCGCTCGGCGTTTGATAAAATTATAAAATATTGTTCTCAATGCCACAATGACCCCCCCTACTAAACATGACAAGTAAAACATTATTTTCTATACAAAATTTTACCCGTTAGTCGCTTTCGAAAAACCAATTACATAACATTACTACACAAGAATCACTCGATTAAAGTATTAAGATAATATTAATATAAAAGCTCCTATAAAAACATCGAATGAGATAATTAAATTTTTACATTTTAT